GTAGGAACTCCACGGGGATAACATCAATAGTCCTTACTCGGACGAATCGATTCATCCACCCTCGGTCTTCATCTTCTTCATCATCGACAACAAAGGACCTGGTGGATCGGCATCGCAAAGCTATCAGACCTCAGCAATGAAAGGGTCAGTACAATTTGATGAGATGGCTAAGGTTGAACTTGAGCCCGGCTTCTTCCGCAAAGAACCTCATCATCAGCACTGTCCTCCAGAACGACGAGTGAACCTGTGCCAGGGTAGCCCAATATCTTCAACAGAAGTCAAGCACAGCTCTATCGAGAGGGCCCAACGTGAAGGGGTATGTGTATACGTGTAAAAAACCCTTTGTATGAGACGTGATGTTCTCTTCCGGGGAAGGTACCTGTAGTACCACCTTATCTCCCCATCCGCAGTCTCTCCTCACTGTCTCGAGGTGTTCCTCTCCTATTGATGAAGTGAACCTTGATGCATGATCCCAATGGTCCTCGACATTGGGATGTCTCTCTAACAAAAGGTCCCTCCTCGAGACAAAGCATCTTGAGTTTGGCTTGCCAGACGCCGGCGGTGTACCACCGATTGAACGGGAAGAAGAAGCGAAACCCTCCTCTTCTTGGTGAACGGATTTGGGCGTAGCAGCCATTGCTATGATAAAACAAGATAAGGAAAATGAAAACTCAGGCAAAAACTTTGAATTAAAATGATAGAAAGGCTGACGCAAGAAAGAAGAACTCTATGAAAAGGGATAGCTGGCTCAAAATAGCGGAATCCTCAGAAAAGAAGGAAATAAACTCATATATAGAGAAAGCGACGACTGTCCACCTAACCTAAAGTCCAATTAATTCCGACTAGACCATTATCACTTTCGGGGATAAGTACCGGCAGGATCATCTCGATCATTTCATGATCGTGTCATACGATTGACACTATCGTACAATATTCGAGGAATCAAAGATCCCCGCATCAACCTAGCCTCGAGATGGTACCCGATCTTGAGGATCTCTGCTACCATGACTGTTAGCTCTAAGGAGCCATCAATATCACTATAAGCCTCGAGATGGTACCCGATCTCGAGGATCTCTGTCAAAATGAAAATAGGCTCTAAGGAGCCATCAATATCACTATAAGCCTCGAGATGGTACCCGATCTCGAGGATCTCTGTCAAAATGAAAATAGGCTCTAAGGAGCCATCAATATCACTATAAGCCTCGAGATGGTACCCGATCTCGAGGATCTCTGTCAAAATGAAAATAGGCTCTAAGGAGCCATCAATATCTCTCTAAGCCTCGAGATGGTGCCCTATCTCGAGGATCTCTGTCAAATCAAAAAATAAGCTCTAAGGAGCTATTCATATAAACCTAACCTCGAGGTGGTACCCTATCTCGAGGATTTCTGCTATTACAAGTGCGGGTCATTCACCCGATTCTTTGGCCCTCGAGCTACCCGAACCCGAGCCAGTTCTCACTCGAGAATTACTAATAAAGCCTTAGGTCTACTTTCGCCTTCAGATCAAGTTAAACGCTCTCTCGGTTACTTTAGACCAGGGGCCATCCGAGCCCATCCGTATCCTCATCCGGGGTCTATCTAGAACGTCTTAGGGCTATCTTCACTATAAGTTCAAATCAAGTTTTTAGGCCACTCGAGATCGAGCAAACTCTCACTCGGGGACTGTCTGTGAAAGTCTAAGGGCTATCTTTATTCTCAGATGTTCGAGCAAATTCTCCTTCGAGGACTATCAATGGGGCCTAAAGGGCTAAATTTTGTTCTAAAATTCGAAGCCCCACTCTCACTCAATTTGAAATCAGGGATCCCGGTGGCCTAAGTTTGTATCAATTCAATCTGGACTCAGTCCGAGGAATGGCAAAGGGTTTCACGGAATATCATATTAACCAATCAAGAACCAAAGGAATACCTATGCCCGGGTCCGGTATTTGGACCAATCGGTAAAGTCACATGCTCAGATTCTTTACAAACGTAGACAAAGGGAAATCCAGTACAAATCAAAGACAAATTGAAGAAGCATTTTTCTATTAATAAACGATGATTACAAAAGCCCACGAGGGGTCCTTACACAAAAAAAAAGAAAAAAAATAACAGCTAAAAGTCTAATCTATTCTCGGAGGTACATCCTCCGAAGCAATATCTGCAAGAACCATTTCCTTGGGGACCCCATTTCGGTCTTCCAAACGACGTCTTCGAGAACCTCCTCCGAAGCAGAAAAAGATGAAGAAGCAGAAGAAGATGAGGAGAAGAAAAGAGTTAAAGGTTGTTGAAGAATGACTGGATGGAGTTTGGATTCAAGAAAGCTTCCATTTATAGAAAGGCGGTAGCGTAATCGACGGCACAATCAATGCCTTTGGGAAACGTATCGGCAGGCCCAATCAATGTATTTTAAGAAACAGATCGGCGGCGATATTATCGCTTTTGGGAAAATAAACTGGCGCTACACTGAATGCTTCTGGAAAAACGAACCAATAGGACGTCTCAGTTATCACAAAAGCTTACGTCATAAGCATGTTGTCATCACGAGAGGCTCGAGGAGATCGTCGTCATCATTTCTTATCATTTTACTCTAAGAAACGCGGGGACTATCTGTATACGGTAAAAATCAGAAGGTCCAATTTTATGATCATTATGGCGCTTCGTGAGACCACCCCTTAAAGCCTCGAGGCCTAGCTCGAGGCTCAACCCCGAGGGTTCTTAATAATCGACCTCGAGGTAGTGCAAATCAAAGGTTATGATGGACAAACGGAAAGTTCCCAAGGCGCGTGATTAAAGCTGACCAAGTCTATTAGGTTAGTTCAAGCACGTACCGTGGCATTAAATGGATGTACCAGCCTCAAGTCCTTGTAATAAATGTGTCTGTACTATGTTGGGATTCCCCCTCATATATAAAGGGGACCCTTGTCATTTTGTAAGAGATGATCATACAACATTCAATACAAGAACAAGAACATTCTCTGCTCTCTAACTTAAACACATTCTCCCTTGATTCTAGTATTTATATTTATTGCTTACATTTATTGTATTTCATTTATTGCTCATTATTGATCATAAAGAGCCTCCATCAAAGCTCTCAAAATTGTTAGCCCTTCGTTGGCTGTCTACAACTTAGTATCTAGCTCAACCTCGAGGCCCCGTATAACCTGGCTCGAGGCCCCGATTCTTAGTTATTCGGTTTGCTTAAACATACTGCTTTCGAGTTATTATCTTATTTTCTAGTCTCAAGTTTAGCATTTACTGCCTAACAACTAGCATACAAATAAATTACGTATTTTTAGAACCACAAAATCAAATCTAATTGTAATTACCATTTACAAGGTAAAAAATTGCACTGAGAGTGAAATTCTAAATTCTAATGATGTCTTTTTTCCTAGGAGCAATCTAACGAAGTAGAACTTATATGTAAAACGAAGTGAAAATAGCACATGTTAGCTAGTTTTTGAACTAATAATTAGAAAATAGCCAACGGTTGCAAAGTCAATGAAAAATAGTCATTACTTTGCTGCAACACGAAAATTCCGGCATAATATACCGTAGATTGATGCACATGTGTATGAACTTTCAGCATATTATGCTGGAATTCCAACACACGGAAAGTTCCAGCATTATATACTGGGAATTGAAGGACCTGTGTATGTATTTCTAGCATATTATGTTGGACCAATGTATTATGCTGGAACTCCAGTATATATTATGCTGGAAGCCCAGTATATTATGCTGGAATATTTTCCGGATTTTGAACAGTGTTTTCGTTCATATTTATCTTTACATAAAAAGTGGCTAAATTTCAATTATTTTTAAAACTGTAGCTATTTTTCAATTACCACTTATAAATTTGACTATTTTTGAATTTCACCCTGAAACGAAAGCTAGATCGATTATGACACGAAATTTAATTGGATCACAGCAACATGAGAAATCAAACTCGAAATATGGGTGAGTTAAATGATTTAATTTCTGGTACAAACTATCTTAAATTTTTAATCAAATAGTCAATAACTTACGTGAATCTTTATACTAACTCAATAATAAATCAAACAGACCAATTAAGATTAGGGGATTACCTCTATGCCTAATTTTTTATTTTTTTATATTTAGGAAGTGCTGACATAAGCATATGAGAATAGCCTTGAATGGGTGAACAACATTTCAAATTTCCGTAGCATCAAACTCACAAGCAAGAAAATAAAATTAAAGTATTTGTTTGAAAAGGTTGTTAAAAGCAACCCTAATGTTCCCCAAAGGCTAGTTTATATATAGTCAACACCAGTTTAACTAACATTATCATCAGCAAACCAATATCATATTGAGCTTTTTATTCTCTCTCTTTCTCTTTCTCGTTAACTAGGTAATATTATTTAAAAAAGAAGCTTAAGTAACAATATTACAAATGAGGGAGTAGTATTGTTCTTTGGGACTTTGGGCAAACTTTACCATTATTTGCTACCAAATTACTCTTACAAGCCAAAATTCCCTTAAACAAAACGTATTTCCTTATTTGTTACTTCCAAATTACTTTTACAACCTGAAATTTCCCTTAGAAACGTAATTTCGAGTATATATGTCCACACTGCCTCGTGTGCAAACACGGAAGGAACTGTCAAAATCCTAAAATGAACAAATAATTGTTTCTTGGTCCCTTCCTTGGTAATTGCTAGACAGCATAAAAATAAAGTGATAATTTTTATTGTACTTAATTTTTAAAAAATTACTATAAAAAAAAAAGAAAAAAATTGTTGAGGGAGATTCAACGAGTGAAAGGGACATGGGAGATGGTGTCAGCGGATTTTAGTAAATGCAAGTGGGGCTACTCCATGTTACGAGTTGCGACTTACAACTGGAGTACATGAATAAACAACAAATGCATTAATTCAATTTCGAAACGGACAGCTCAACCAAAAAGGTCCCATTCATTCATTATCTACGTGTACTTCACGTTTTTGCCATATTCTTGACTCACCCAAAATTCCAATTTTGTTTCTTTTTTAACATTTTCCCTCGCTCAAGGTTTCTCCATTGGTTTTTGCCCCTGCAATTTTCAAAACATTAAGGGGCCGTTTGATTTGTAAACAAGTTATTTCGAGGTTAATAATAATGAGACGATAATATTGAGTGGTTTGTGAACATACCACCATTCCAAACTCCCATAGCCATGCATTGTCTACCACACAAAAGGCCAACCTGACCCTACTTCTAAGAGAATGAAATCAAAAGAGCAATTTTCTCCTTTAAGCCATCTAAGGCATTAAGGCCTAATGGCATGCACCCCGTCCTTTACCAAATATAGACATTATGGGGAAAGATATTATCCAGTTCTCCCAAGAATGCTTTGAATCAAAAACAATACACCCTAAAATGAATGAGACCCTCCTATGTCTCATACCAAAATGATCACAGGCCTCCGTGCTTAAGAATTTCGGACTTATAGCCCTTTGCAATACTATCTACAAAATTGTGACCAAAATCCTGGTTAATAGAATCAAGCCCTACCTGACCCAAATAATTGGTGCCAGCCAAGTCAGCTTCTTGTCCAACAAGAGAGCTTCTGATAATGCTATTATAGTCCAGGAATGCATCACCCACTTTGTGAAGATGAGAGGAAAGAAACCATATATGATCCTAAAAATTGACCAGGAAAAGGATTTTGACACGAGTGAGTGGTCTTTTATCCGAGACACTCTCCATGCTTTTAACTTTCTCACTGGCCTTATTAGCCTCATCTTATCTCGTGTAAGTTCCTCCTCCATCTCAATCTTGGTTAATGGGGACCAAACTCCTCCCTTCAAACCATCCAGAGGCATAAGACAAAGAGATCCCCTGTCTCCTTATCTGTTCGTCATGTGTATGGAAAGACTTTCTAGACTAATTGATGAAGTTGTTCAGATAAAAGAGTGGTGCCCAATCAGAAACAGCAGGTTTGGCCCAAAGAACTCACGTCTTTTCTTTGCTGATGACCTAACCTTATTTGTTAGGGCTGACTCCAACAATTGCTCAACTATTATCAATACTCTAAGTTCTTTCAATCATGCTTCAGGTCAGAAAATTAATCTTGCAAAGTCAAAGGTCTTCTTCTCTGCTAACTACCAACCTCACTGGATGGAGGCTAAATTTGCCAACCTATCCATCCGAGCCTCATCTACCTTGGCAAATATCTGAGTTTTCTCATCTTTCATAAAAGACAAGTTAATAGTGAATTTCAATTCATCATTGACAATATGCAATCCAAACTGGCTGTGGAAAATAAGTTGTCTAAATATGACTGGGAGAATCACCCTAGCAAAAGCATCCTTGAATAGCATCCCAAATTATGTCATGCAATTCATCAAACTCCCCTAAAACCCACAAAGAAAATTGATAAAATTTAAAGGAACTTCATCTGGGGCACTACTCCTAACAAGAAGAAAATGCACCTAATAAGTTAGAATACTGTTGCCAAACCTAAAAGCTAGGGAGGGTTAGGAATCCAAAAAACTGAGTATAAAAACAAAGCTATCCATTGCCTTGCATGGAGACTCTTCCACAATCCTTCTTCACTCTAGAAAAGACTCTCATTGCTAAACACTGTAACTGGACTCACATCCCTAAAAAGGCCAAATATTCTACATGACACTGTATCCTTAAAGGTTAGGACATTTGCAGTAAAGATATTAAATGAGTGGTGCACAAAGGAGACAGAGTTAGCTTCCTAAATGATTTTTGGATCCCCAAACACCCACCCATCAGGAATATGATCGAGGGTCCTCTTACACAAACTGATCATCTGGCCAAAGTGGCCACCATTTAGGTGATTGGAATACCTCCTCCATATCCCTAAGAATTCCTTCTAATATCAGAGATCTAATTTCATCTACTTTTATCCCACTCATTCCCATAAAGGAGGATAAAATGATTTAGGGCAAAACAAGCAATGGCCTCTTCAAGAATAAATCAACCTATACCCTTCTTGCAAACAAAATTCTCCAAAATTTGAAAGAGAAAAACAACAACACCATATGTGGATTTAGAAGGTAAGGGTCCCTAATAAGATCAAGACCTTCCTATGACTCTTATACCATAGAAGGCTTTCTATAGGGGCCTATCTTCAGAAAATTGAGGTCCTTTGTAATCCTCTGTATTGTTTCTGCTCTGCCGAAATTGAGACCTCTGCCCAGATTTTCTTTGATTACCCTATTGCAAAAACATTCTAGCAGCACTCCAAAAGCACCACCACAACCTCACATCAGAACTTCACCTTCACAAGTAGCTTTTGATCTAACATTTGATCAACCCTATGGAGCAAGCCTTTCAACAATATTCTTTGCTGGGAAGACCTCTTTCCTTTTAGCTTCTGGCAGATGTGGATTACTAGGAAGAACAACCTCTTCAACAACAAAAAATATCGAATCCATACCTCTAATGTCCTTGCAAGGGCAACTGAGTATATTACTATCTCAGCCAAGCACACACCTAGAAAAGAAAATACCATCTGGGTTAAATGGATTCTCCTCCAAGGAAAAAATGCAAGCTCAACACCAATAGGGCCGCACTTGGGAACCCTGGGAAGGGTGGTGTGGGAGGAGTTTTCAGAAACTCCATCGGCAACTGAATTTTGGGATTTATGGGAAGCCTGCCATACACCACAAAACACCCAAACTGAACTACTTGCACTGCTTCACGGACTGCAAATTGCATAGCTAAAAGGACTTACTCCCTTAGAAATCAACATAGACTCGACAGAAATAATAATAATGCTCAATTTAGGTAACCATATTTTTTACTCAATTATCTCTGAACGCAGGTCGATCATCCTAAGATTGAGAGACATGGTGGTAAAACACAGATACAGGGAGACGAACAAAGTAGTTGATTTGATGGCAAATGAGGGAGCCAAAAAAGACTTTTTTGGAAGAACAACAATCGTGACAGTTCCTCCGGTGTTTGCAAATAAAGCTTTTTGGGCAGACATCCTAGGAATTATCTTTTCTAGAAAGATTTTGGACTGTAATATTAATTCTGTGGAACAAAATTTAGGAGGCACTTCATACACCCTGAAGACGATGTATCTATTTCCCTTTAGTTGCTAATATATATAATCATCCCTTTAACCAAAAAAAAAAGTTATTTCAAGGTTACTAATGATGAGATTATACTATTTAGATTAGCAAAAATAAGAAAATTTAGTAGAAATATTCTTACTAATAGATATTTGATTTATTGGAGCAGAATGAGGTATATAGAGTATACAGTAAAAATGTGTTTAATTTAAATTAGATAGAGCGGGATAAACTTTTATTTTTAATTATAACCTTGACTTTTTGTATGAAATTGGGAGAAAAGTTTTGGAGAAGGTAAATGTATCATTTTATATTTGCCTCTGCCCTTTACATGTTTATATTGAAAAAAAAACTAGATTTAAAAAAGAAACGGCGTTCGTAAGTGAGGAATGAGTTAGTAGAGTAATGACTACGAATTAGCACTAATTTTGAGAATAGTGTTAAGTTCGAGTTTTAACCGAAAGCCTAACGAGAGGGACAAATCTAGAGTGTGAATCCGCAAACAAAACAAAGTAAAATTTTGTTTTCTCATTTCATTTTAAACAACACAAAAAAATAAAGCTAAAAATAAAAACAAGGTAGTGATCGGAAATGGCATTTGATATTTTTGTATTTTGATACGTGGTGTTAACGTACTGGTCTTCTAATACATGTCTTTAAATTTTGCATATCTCGTAATTTTGCATATGACAGAGGTAATAGTACAAATAAGGAAGGAGGTTACATTTTTTTTTTAGGAACTCAAAGAAAGCACTTAGTTTCGGGTTCGATCCATGGTATAGAATCATTTTTTTAAGCTAGTGTTTTACCTCCAAATATGAGATTTCTCTCCGAATTCGAATTTAATCGGGTCCTGGTCAACATTGGGAGGAAGAAAAAGCTGGAAACCAAATTGCAGATTGAATCTATGTCTGCATAGCTGATAGCTTACTGATTGGAAACCTTCTTTCACTTTATGTTCTTATATCCTATTTGTCTGACTTGTGGGTTGTGGCCCTTCAATTGCTGTTGGAAATGGATAGCGTCTGTGGTCCAAGTCATTCCTCACAAGAATATTGTGATTATCACTTAAGTGTCATCCAAATATATTTAGGAATATAATACTTGACATGGTGGCTCGTAGTCAAACTTTGATCCTTTTTTTTTTACAAATTGTTTGTTGATATACATCGTCTGACTTTTGATAATTTTTAGAGGAGAAATGACGTGATTAATGTCATTTATTGGATCATGAAACGTTCTTAAATATATTTTCTTTTGTATTATGAAAAACAAGGGTCCAATATCTATCATCTTCGGATAGATTACATTGATTTCTTATATCTTCAAAAAATAGATTTATAAACTTAGAAACTGTTTAATTTGTTTGAGACAAATTGACTATAAGTTAATCACGGTCGAAGAAAAATCCTTTGATTCCCCAAAGAGCAAAATAACATCGAAATAGAAAGGAATGATTTTTTATATTTCATGTAATTTTATTGTTTGCAGTAGATGTTTTCGAGAGTGGAGAAAATTGTACAATAGTGATATATGGTGTCTGAGAAAAATAAAATTTGCACAATTTCGCAAAGTTCAGAAACAAATTTGGACCATTTCGCTTAAAATAAGTACTTACAAAATTGTCAAAGTTGTCTTCGCCGCTCATGTAGGATTAACGATAGCTTCTGAAACTTTGTGTGCAGAAATTTGTTCCAGCTAACAAATATCTCATTATTATCGTCTTCTATTTTTTGTTGTTGATAAAAATTGTTTGCCTCGAAAATACGAGTAACAATTAAACTTGTTTGTGATTTTAAAGATACGTGATTTGATTCAATACATTAATAACCAAGAAATCGAATGTATAAATTAAAGAAGTAAGTTGAATCAAACCAGTGTTTAAGCAAGTATTGACCTCGAGCTACGATGACCTCAAGGTAGGTCAGCAACAACAATAAAGTAAAGACAATAAGCTAAGAGACAATTCTGATAAGTAATGAGCAAGAAAGTAAGAGAGCATATTCTTATGCCAATGATTGATGATGCTTACAAATGATTGGGGTCCTCTTTATATAGTAGGGGAACCCTACATAAGGTACATTTCTATTTACAGTAAGGAATCTTATTGGGACAGTTGTCTAACCGCCTAATACAAATTCGTACTAACTCGTACAAATCTATTTCGGAATTTATGCCATGATCTTGGGGACGTGGCGTGAATCTTGCTCTTTCTATTACAAACCCATAACGGCATCATCTCGGGGTTGGTCATACTCGGCTTCGATGCTCACCGCGTACTTCGATCCTCCAGCCTTGTACTCTGTCATCGGACTCGAGTTTGGTCCATCGGGCTTGAACTCGATCCACCCTGAACTCGGGCTTGAAGTGATTCTTCGAGTCCGTGAAATCAGGCATACTTGATTTTGACTGTATACAGATAGTCCCCGCATTTCTTAGAGTAAGATGATAAGAAACGATTTGATCTTTGATCCTTCGATGCCTCGATCATGATGTCAATATCGTGATATCAACGACTGAAGTGATTGAAAGGTCGCGTCTGCATAGTTCCCAAGGCCATTAGTTGAAGGCGGCTAATGGTAGCCATTGGCCTCCCCAAACCGTTAAAGCAACCACTATAAATAGGTCAATTTAACAACTTTTACAATCTTTACTTCTCAAATCTTTCTCAAAACCTCACTAGCTTCTTCATCTTCTCTGAGTTCACCCTTTCTTCAATTTCTTCTTGCTATAGCATCAACTTCTTCTCTTCTTTTGAATTTCTCAACAACAATGGCTAAGACATCTAAAATCGTTCCTCAGAAAGAAAAAGCCTCCTCATCATCGCGGCCAGCCGGTGGTAGAACGACGACGCCACCTCGTATCGAGGAATGCATTCTCGGGCCTTGCGAGCTATCTTCCGATTTCAAGGTCGATAAGCCTGCGTAGGTTCCAGGCCGATGCGAGCCCATGTCTTGATACATCTGCTTGATAACCAACGATGATCTTGGGTAGGTGAAAAAGGATTGTAACGGTAGGGATAAGGATGTTGTGATTCTTGCCCCTGAAGAGTACATCACCACTCATGTGGAAGGGTACTTAAGCGTGTACACTTATCCTTTCACACTAGGTCCCGTAGACCTAGTCATTCTCGATTTATATCACAAATATCGGGTGACGGTTAGTCAAATCTACCCTTCTTTCTGGTGTATCGTCAATTTGATCAGGTATTTCTCGGGCCAGGTTGAGGGGATGCCTTTTACCCTCGACCACCTGATCAAGCTATAAAGCCATCGCCTTTATCGAGGCAGTCTGATAAAGCTCCATCATCGATCCTCGAAGTCTCTATTCTCCAACATCGATGAGGACAAGGACCGAGGATAGATGGGTCGGTTTGTAAGAATCAAGACTTCTGATTTAATTCATGCTGAAAGGATGCCATTTCCCGAGGAATGGAACATGAAACGTAAGTACAAACTTATCGACGATGATTACTGTTCTGCTTTCCTTATTCTTCCTCGACTTAATTCCCTTTTGATGATGCAGATGCCCCTTGGTTTCCTGGTGCGATCCGGACCTTGCAGGTTGGGTTCGCAACTAGCTTCTACTTCTTCCCATACAGAACGTAGTTGCCATGATCTGGCCAAAGGTCGGTGGGAAGCTAAAAACCATGGTGAGCTCCCTTGTTTTTATATTGGTGTTTTTCTATAAAATACCTACTTTCTCCTTACGCATGCCTTAGAGATACAGTTGCTATGAGGTTGTCCCCACCCGGTGAGGAGGAAATCCCAAAGCCAACCAAGGAGAAGAGAAGGAAAAGGGCTTCGCCAGCAAGTTCCTCGAAGCCCAAGAAAAATAAGGCTCGAAAGCCTAGGGTCGATCCCGCGGCCCTATCTGCAGAAGCGGTCCAACAACTTCGGAATGACGAGGAAGAGGGAGAAGGTGATGACTATCTGTTGGTATCTCGGAAGAGATGAAGCACTAAGGCTTCGAAATTCGCCGAACCAGTGATGACCGATGTGGTTCATCCTCGAGCTGAAAAAATCTCGTAAGGGCGCTCGAGTAGAGTCCCCAAGCCATCGGGTAGCAAAAGTGCATCTTGTCCCGGAGGACATTTTGCGGGTGAGCCCGAGGAGCTTAATTTCGAGGCCCTCCAAAGAGAAGATAATGTCCCAAGTGAATCACTTAGGATAATTCACATAGATGAATCGCCACCTGGTCCCGTGTTCTCTGAAGAGAAGTTCTGAGATTCCCAAGCCATGATGACTGCCGACGTGGGGGCGACCCACGAAGGGACTGATATTTTTCGAGAGTGCTTTGCACGGGTCGAAGATGGTCCCGACCCGGACGCCTTGTTTATTTTTGACGAGGCTCAGCATCTTTTTAAGCAAGTAAGTTTCTGCTTCCATAATTATGCTCGTGATTTATTCTCATTTTTCTGAGTTTGATCTCTTTTCTTTGCGTAAAGGCTGTGACGCTCCATCAACAAGTGTTCTCCAAGTCTCGAGTTGAGCTCACCCGATGCGAGACTGAAATCAAGAAGCTCGTGGGAGAAAGGGACAGCCTCAAACTCCTCTATGTTCAAAAAGAGAAGGAGATTATGGGCTTAGAGCCGATTTGACGATGGCTCATCGAGAACAAACTGAGCTTATTGAGCAAAATGTAGCTTTTTGGGAGTTTGTTATGTGTTTATTGACTTAGTGACTAACACTTCGACTTTGCAGGCCCAGTAGAGGGGCGAGTTGGTGGAGCAGCTTCGAGAAGAGCTCAAGGTGAAAGAGGCTGAGACCCTAGGGTGGAAGAAACATATGGATCGTCTCGCCATGGAGAAAGACACGCTTCGAGCCCAGCTGACTTCGATCGAATGCCAGCTTTAGAATGTAAAGGGAGAAAGCTTGGCCAGGAGCCAAAAGATTGAGGAGCTCAAAGCTAAATCGGTCGTCGTGCTTACGAAAGCCAAATCTGAGGCAAAGGCATTTGTGGCCTCTTATCTAGCTGATGCCGAGGTGCTAACATTCGGGCACAGGAAATCTCTATTGCTGCTAAAGTCA